AGCAAGGTGCAGGGGTGGGAGCCTAACGCCGTCGTCATCTTGCGCGCTGTCTGACGCTGCTCTGTCCCTCTGCAGGGGAGCCTTGCCTTGGGGACAAGTCCATCTTCTGCCAGATGGAGGTCCTGGCTCGCTACTGCTCCATCCCCGGCTACAACAAGCTCTGCTGCGAATCCTGCGGCAAGAAAGCCTCCTCCACCACCGGCTCGCCCCCGGCCACCGGCCCCAGCGCTCCCCCAGGAACCGCAGCTCCCAGCCCCGCTCCGCCGCTCTCCCCCAACCCCACCGTCCCTGCACGGGGGGGACCCGCTGGGGACCCCACGCCGGTATCTCGGGCCAGGCTGGTTGCCGGTGGAGGAGGGAAGCCCGGCAGCGGTGCTTTCCCTGGGGGGCTGCCAGCCCTGAGGGAGCCGGGCAGGGGCCAGGCAGCCAGGTAACCCGCTCGGGACCACCTCGCCGCGGGGCAGGGGAAGCCTTTCACCTCCCTCCCTTCCTCCCTTTCCTCCTCCTCCTCCCACTCTTTTTCCTCTCCTCTCCGCTTCCAGTGATGGTTTTCATGGGTGGCACTGCCAGGTTTGGAAATGACCTGGCTCACCCAGAAATTCCCGGGAAAACCACTTTTTTTCTCATGATCTCCCCCGCCCTCCCAGCTGTGGCGTGGGGTTTTTTTTGACAGCGCCACAGAAAAAAAGGTGAAAAGGAGCAAAAAAAAAAGCGACAGCAGCTTGGCTGCGGGTCGACGGGCTGCTTTCTCCCAAGGTGCTAAAAAAAGATTTGGGGGGGGGGCTTTAATGTTGTTTTTTCCTTCCCCATGCCCCCAAGATGTGCTGGAGAGGAGGGTCCTGGCTCGGGGTTCAGCCCCAGTGCTCGGAGCTTGGGAGTAGCAATGGGAGGGTGCTGCAAATTTGAGGGGACAAGCAACTGGAGGGAGGTGGTGAGGTGGGGAGGGGGAAATGTCAGGAAATGCCCAAACTGCTGCCCTGGGCTGTCTCTGTTGGGGTAGAGGGTTTGGGAAGCATGTCTGGGGGAAGGATGGAGCGTGAAAACCAATAGACCAGCTTCTGTCCTGCATTGCAGGACAGGCAGGAGATGTTCCAGGCAACTTTAACGTGAGCAATAAGAACAAGGTCAAAGACCAAAAATACATGTAAAAAATGCCCGTCACCTGGCGGTGACTTTTTAGCCAATACTGCCCTTGGCCAGCCTTGAGCTGATACTGATGCGCAGCCTCCCCAGGACCACCAGCCTCATCCCTGCACCCTTGTACCCAGTGCCTGTGGGGCATCAACTCCTTTCAGAGGGAAATGGGGATGACTGGGAAGCCAGGAATGGATTTTAGGGGCAGTTACAAAGAAAGGAGAGAGGAAGATGAATCTGCGTCCTTTTTGTCACTTGGGAGGGGCTGAAAGGGAGATGATTAACGCCGTTAAAAAATATTGTGCCAAGTACTAAACGTATGCACAGCACTTTAGGAGCCTAGGGCTGCGTGCAGCTTGCTTGGTGTCAGGCCAGCTCTGGGCTCAGGGTCTGCCTGGAGGCGTTACAGTCCTCAAAACCTCCCCAGAGCGGGGTCAGGCAACCTGCTGTGTCCCCAAGGGGTATCCCTGAGGGGTGTCCCCGAGGGGGCTGCCGCGGTTTCGGTGCTTAGGGGTGTGCAGCCTCCCAGCTGAGGGCATCCAGCACCTCCAGGTGCAGTGGCAGAGGAAGGTGGGCTTCCCTGCGGGATGAACGCTGGTAGGGAGGAGGTTTTGGGGGACAGAGAGGTGGAGTCCGAGGAAGGCAAGGCTTGGCAGGTAGACCAGTTTGGCATTGCAAAGCAGGATCTCTTGGGAGCACGTGCATGGTGTGGGTGCATCCGCTGGCCCTGATGGTGCCGCTTCCCTGGCCGTCCGATGAGCAGGACGGGGCATCTCGAGGGGCACTGTTTGGTAAGCTCTTCAGGTGTCCAGGGCTTGCTGGCGAGGCAGCCAGGGGTGCTCGGCACGTTGGTTTTAGGGCACGCTGCTGTTCGATGCTGGTGCTTTCAGTGCCGGGGCAGAGCGCTGCATCGGTAGCACTTGTGTGGCTGCAAGAAACTTGAGGTCGGGGCATCTCGGAGGAGCTCACGTCAGTGTGCGAGCTCCCCTCAGCCTTTGCTGGTCCAGCGTGGATTGCAGCAGGGGAGAGATTGAGGTACACGCTTGAATTGAACCGAATGGAGACCCCTGTGCATTCCTGATGTTTTAAGCATTGGACTCCCTCTGCAATGCTCCCCTGGAGCTACCCAACAGTACAGAAAGGGCTGAAGAGATGTTAAGAGGGCAGCTTGTGCACCCTCCTGCCCCCGGATCGCCTTCAAGTCAAGGCTGGACGAGGAGCATTTATGGAACTACTCTTAAAAGCACCTGGGGCTGGAGGTCCCCTGCCCTTTGGCATTAAGTGGGCTTCACGAAAGACGGAACAAAGCCACACGTCTGTCTGAGCCAAGCAACCAGCACACCTCGTGGGAGCAGACAGACAGAGGGATGCCTATGAAACGCTGCGGCGGGGTGCCCAGGTCCGAGGCGTTGCAGGTATCGGTACCCACAGGATCGACGAGACACTCTGGATGTACCAGGGTGGGATTCATCCCTCAGACTGCTGACACTGCCGCCGTGCCCCTTGCCAGCCTGTCCACCAGTACCGCCCTCCGCGGGAGTGCCAGCATTTATTTATTGTGCCAAAGATAACGCTTTGTTTACTCTTCAAGGAGCATCTTTCCCCTGCGGCGCGGTGCAGGGTGTGCCGCAGCCTTCTCCTGCTGCTGGGACAGCCCTTGGCTGGCTCAGGGCAGGACTGAGCTTGCTTTGCCTTTCCCTGCCCCAAGCAAGTCTTTTCTCCAGCGTTCAGCCCCCTGCCCTGTAGCCTTGGAGGCATGGAATAAAAACAAAGCCTCCCCCCCACATCAAAAATGGGCTGTAATGTCTCCAGGGCGCAGTCGATGCGCGTGCATGCATGCGTGCTTGCTCCTTCCTCCCAAATTCTCGTCGGCACCCCTCCTTTCAGTGCTGTCCTGGGTGGGCGTTAGTGCTTTATTGCATTAGGAATATTTGCGGTGGTTCCTTGCTATACCTCGGAGGAGAGCGGTGGCTCAGGACTGGCCCAGTCCCCTCGCACCCCACAGCCGGGGTGCCCGGGGGGGGCTTCGGGGCAAGGGGGCTGCGCTGCAGGTGCTAACCCCCGCCTATAGCCAAGAGAGGTGGGCGAGATTTAAAGCAAGGTGCAATTAAACCCCCCCTCTCCTTTGCCACATGTGGGTGCTCTGGGGCGGTGATGCTGCAGGGTTGGGACCCAGCACTGGGTATTTATTCCAGGCGAGCGCAAGAAGCGCCTAGGGCGGGCTGAGGTTGGGCGGCTTCTCGCCGTATGGATGCCACGGTGCGTGGAAAGCTGCGGCGTGGGGATGGAACGCTGCGACAGCCCAGTTCCCAGCAGGGATTTGGCCCTGTCTTTGGGAGGAGGGGGTGCGTCTGGTTCCCCCCCCATCCTCCTGAGCCGGGCAGACGCACCAAGTCATTCCTGTGATGTAACCTTGTTCAGTGTTACAATGATGTATAAAGTTTTGTACATACGAGATTCAGAGCTTTTTAACTTTTAATATTTATTAATTTTGTTGGGTTCTCTTTTTTTTTTTTGAACTCTAACATAATGTAAAAAAATTAAATAAATCCACATCAAAACCTCTTTCTGTTGATTTATTTGGGGGATGGGTGTGTGTGGGGGGGGAATACGATTGTGACCTGTGTGTGGTTGTTGAAAGAAGTGGATTTCACACAGTGAGCCACCACGTCTTTATTTTATTTCAACTCAGCCACTCCTCTCTATCAGCCAGAGTTCACATAGCTGTTTTGAGATGATTTTATTTTTTTTTTCCTTTTAAATAAGACAAAGACCCAGTGAAACCCACGGATGTCTAAATTACAAGCACCCTGTGATGGCTGTAATACCATTTCATGACACCCAGCTGTTTGGCTTCGCTCTCGCAAGGCTTATTTCTAGCTGCGGTCGGCAACAGCTTTCTGGCACAACGTGCTCGTTCCCAGGGTGCAGGATAATGTCGGGATCACCGGCCCGGCCCTCCCTGCTGCTGCAAAGGGCTGTGGCCATGGGATGGCTGGTGATCTCCTGGGGATCCTCCTAGGACAAAGCCAACCAGGGGTTTTATTGTGCTGCAGGTCTGCAGTGACACGCTCCCCTGGATGCACGGTCCCGGAGGGCACGATGCTGCGTCATGGGGTCGTGGGGCTGAGTCTGACCCTGCTGCTGCCTGTCTCCGTTTGCTGCTTTCTCACTTGCCGTGCCACCCCCTCTCACATTGCAGTACCCTAAGTCAATTGAACTGATGGTGAAAAGCACATTGCTGACCCCCCGGGACATGGCTTTGGTGCCATACGCCTGCTCCAGCTGTGCCTGCTACTGTTGGCATAGCAGGAGAAAAACCTCTACGTATATACATATATACACACACAAAAACATACAGCTTAGCCATTGTAAAAATAAAAGATGTGTTACTGGTTCAGGCCCAAACGAGCCCCTGAGCTTGCACTGACAACTGGTACCCACGGTCGGGTAATAAATAAAGAGCGATGAAACCGGGGCAGGGCTGAAGCTGCAGAACAAACCCCACCATGGGCAGCGATGCCCAATGTTGGGGTGCGTTTTGGCAGCCCCCCCCTTCCCCTGTGCGGGGCGGGGAGGAGCGATGCCCAACATCAGCTACCGTTGCTGCTCACGGGCGAGGTTTGGGCAAGGGTTTTTTAGGCAGCCCCTCCTGCACGTCTCGGTGCTGCCTCGGTCGCCCCAGCTTGCAGATGCTCCGCTCCATCCCCGAAGCAGAACCACGGTGCTGGGTGAAGGGTGTCCTCCGTGCTCAGTGGGTGCTCGGTGGGTGCACCGTCTCGCCCCATCGCTGGCGGCCGCAGCTCCTCGTGCTGAGCAGGGGCAGGATCGGGTCTCCAGCTCAGGCGAGCCCGTCCTCCCACAGCTCAGGGGCACGTGGCGGCCGAGAGGTGCCGGCGGAGATGCTCGATGAAGTCCGCTTGGGACTGCGGCAGGACGCGGTTAATGACAGACGTGGGGATCCAGCCCTTTGGGAGAGAAAACACCACCCCCCCCGAATTTGGTCCCGCTGGGTCAAAGAGAGTTGGGGCACCCAGCCCCACGGGGAGGAGGGCGCGTTTGCACGCAGGGGATGCGCACCCCTTGCTGTCCCACCCCAAGCGAACGCGGTGGCACTTGCCTTCAGGTCCATGCTGAGGAGCCAGGTGAAGCGGGTACGGTCGGGGTCCCCCGCCAGCGGCTGCAGGACGATGCAGCTCAGCCGGGACTCGGCCCTGCGGTGGGGCAAGGGCGCAGGCAGTGAGGGTCTGACACGGGGGAGTGGGAAAAGCAGGGTAAGGAGATCCCAGAGCAAACGCAACAGGTAGCTCTCGGCGTGCCTCCCTTGCCGTACCCGCTGCAAACGTTCGTGGCTGCAGCCGTGGTGTCCCCCCACGCAGGGACACGATACCGCGTGACGGTCACTTTTTTTGGTGAGGGGGGGCTTTACCTGATGCACCCTTCCTGCAAGGGCAGCGGCTCGACGTGGGTGGTGGTGCCCACCAGGTAGACGGCCGTCTCCCTCCTCCCGCGGTGCCGCACGCTGACGAAGTCCCGCTGGCCCACCAGGTTGCCCGGACTGGGAGCGGTGACTTCGTGCGTCACCAGCGTGTCCGTCCCGACGCGCTGCAGGACCTACCAGAGCAAGGAAGGTCCCGGGGATTAAGTCCCTCCTGGGGACATCCCTGCCACCCCCTTACTCCTGCCCTGGGGGACATTAAGGCACCTTGAGGACAGCAACGTGGGGTAGTGGCAGGAGCAGGACCATCAGCAAGATAGGGGCTTGGGGCTGGCACCTGGTGATAATTAAATCCCCATCCCCTGCAGGCTATTAAGGGGGAAAGTGGGTGATTTTTGCAGCCTTTGTTATCTGGGGTGGGTGTCTCTCTGTCTCTATGCTATTCCTTTTTCTGAAGGGACAAGGAAGTGGTAGCAATAAATAAGCAGGGGCTGGGTAGCATCTGAGCCAGCCCAGGTGAGTAAGGGGAGGCTGTCGGAGGCTGGCAGCTTGCTCAGGGATACACTGTGATTTGGGAGCTGTGAAATAAGGCAACTACTCAAAAGAAGCCCAAGACAACACATAAGCTTGCTGGGGGTGCCCCCGCAGCGTGATATATTTGGTTTTGCCTCTTTTTTTTGAGCTGTCTGATTCCCCTGAAGGACATCTCCTGTGACATTAAAGTCTGAGCAACATCGGAGTCCCCCAGTGCGGAAAAACCTCTGTGAACCGGCACCGTGCAGAAAAGAGAGCTTGGAAACAACACGTTTCTCAGTGCCACACCAGTAAAGCACATCTTCTCTCCCTGGGGTGATATCCTGCTTTTGCAGGAGTGTGGAATTAGCTCTAATCCTTCAGCGATCTTTAAAACCTCGATAAATATGATTTTTTTGGATGCTAGCAACCCCGGCGATGCAAAGTCTCGGACCGTCTGCCCGTGATGGCATCCTTTGCCGCCTGTGGTGCATCCCTCCCCACCTTACCTTCACCTGGCTGAGGGTCGGGTTCCACTGGGGCATTTGCTCGATCCTCTCGAACAGCTCCCGGTGTAGCCGTGCCACTGGCACGGCCAGGACCACCTCTGCCCGAAACACCTTGCCCAGCCCAGGGAGGGCAGCGCTGGACACGGTGGCCCCGGCATCCTGGGAGAGCAGACAGCCTGCATCAACCCCAAATGCCCCGAGAGGCATCGGCTACACGCTGAAATGCTTTGCTAATAAATCATCCCAGTCCTCTTTTTATCACTGCTTGGTTTACAGGCAAAAGCTGTTATATCTAAATCATGACACTATGATTGCTTTTTTTTTTTTAAGCTCCTTTCTAGCTAAATTAAACAATTCAGCAAACAGCTTAATGAACAAGCACCGTAAATAACAATAAAGTCGCAATCTGTTGGGTTTTTCTGCCGAAATGCTCCTGGCTTTCCTTGGGAACAGGATTATCTGAGTTTCCCCTTCCAAACCTTTTCCTGCTGTCTATTTACTTTGCAGATTTGCTTGCGAATGTGCTTAAGGAAGGCTTGCTTGGAAACCCTCTTTGCCGTGCACGCTTTTGCACGGCACGTCTCCTGCGCCCGCGGCTTCCCTTCAAGCAGGAGGAATAAGAGAAGCAAATCTCCCCTTCCCAGACTCATTTCTCCTCCCGAGAGCTTTTCTGGCATGAAGCAGCAAAGGCAAGAGGTGGCCGGGTTTTACCAGCATCGTTTCTGCCTGCCAGCTGGTGTGCTGCTGCAGGATGCTCAGCGCTCGCTGCAGGGCTGTTTCTCCCTGGGTGATGTAGGAGAGGTCCATGCTGGAGAACCGGCTGGGGCTGATGTCTCCGTCAGACTCTGGGCACGTGGCTGAAGGAACAAGGCAGAGCAACGTGAAAATCCACCCCCCCCCCGGCTTCGCCTGTGCACGTGGCTGCACGTATAGAAGTGCAAACGGAGCTGGAGCAGAGGGTTTTGCTGACCCAAAGTCTCGGCTCTTACACCTTCATTTCCACCACGCAGCTGGTGCCCTCTTGGGCTGGGGGAATGGCTTGGTGTAGAAAACCTTGCTGTCAGGAGCATCCCTGGCATTCATTCGCTGTGTCTGGGCTGGCTGCTTGGAAAGCTTTTTGAATTTGCTTTCCAAATCAATTCCCGGTTACACTGTGGTACAAATTGCACGTTGCTTGGGTATTATTAACATTGCATAGGCAGCCTTTGGACCGAGCCACGCTTCAAAAAAAACCCAGATGAATTTGCCAATTTTCAAGTCTTTAGGTAAGTGGTGGAACTAGAGACACAGCAGACATGCAACAAAACACTTTTAAGTGCCTGTAACCTCTGCTAAAAGCTTTGCCTGCCTGTATGGTGAGCCAGTGCAATTTGCCTTCCCAGAATCTCAGGGTCTCCCTGCTAACCCAGTTTGCCAGCAGTACGGGGAATGCTTTTAAGCTATCAGAGAGCTGGAAACCAGCCCAGCAATGAGAAGACAGTTAACTCTGTCCCTCCAAATATGGTCAAATCGTATGGAGAGGGGTGCGTTTTAATACGCATCCCTCCATCATGCATTGCAAGGGGGTTGTGAGCAGGGCTAGGAAATGCCCAAGCGCCTGGGCTGAGCTTACCTGTCTCCTTCCCCATCAGCCTCTGAATATAACGAGGAATTTTGGAAGGCAGGCGACGGGAGCCTTTTACCACCAGCCCTCTCACGTCCTTCTGTACTGCCGCAACGGCTGTTATCTTCAAGCCTAGGGGAGAGACGGGCAGGCTTTGGTGAGCACGGAGCGTGCAAGGAAGATGCCGTGGTGCTCCACGTCTCTGCTAGAAGTTCATTTGCAGCTGAGACCGAGACTACCCTATGCGTGATACAACGCTGGAGGAAAATAGGCGCATAGATGCGACATTTCCAAGGGAGCACCTCCCAAGGGGATGCCCATCAGAAGCAGACTTAGCATCTCTTTTCTGCCTGTTTTTCCCAAGGCTGGGGGCTGCGGAGGGGGAAGGCGAGCGGTGCTTACCGGGCAGGCGGCGGAGGTGGTCGTGGGCGATGCCGCAGCACAGCTTGACGGTGGCCCGCAGCATGGCGTGGGAGCGGGGCTGCCTCCGGGAGCACGCCGCATCCCGGCGCGTCTTTATAGCCGGCCCGAAGGCCGGCACCTGATGATAGGACCACGCTGCCAGATAGCAGCTGGGAAGAAGGAGTACTCAAGGACAAGGCAAGCGAGAGGAGGGGCCGGAGGGAAAGGCCACGCTTCCCTCTGAATGAGCAGTCCCTGCCTTTCCTCCTGCCCTGGGCAGGCGGCTGTGAATGGACGTGTCCCCGGACACGGCTGAGATGGATGGGGCGCGTTAGTGGTCCCCAGTGTCACTCGATCGAGGACTGCGGCGGCAAACAAGCTGGCAAAGGCAACCAGGGCACTTGCATGGGGGGAAGGATGGGGTGGGAGTTGAGAGCAACGTGGCTTTGCTCTCGGGGAGCGTGGAAGCTGCTGTTAAAGCCGTGGTTGTAGAAAATGGTGCTTCTTCCTATGGAAACTCCATAGAAATTGTGGTGGCAGTTGCTGCTGTTGTAACTCCTCAAGTAACTCCTTATTTTCCTCTTTTCTACTTTACTCCCTCCTAATTGTCCCCTGCAGACCTCTTGCTCAGGGTGATGGTGGGATCACTACATCTTTTGGCATGAAGTTATTCAGTCCTTCCCCTTGTGTTTTTAATTGCCCCTCTTAAAAGGTTAAACATAAAACCTACTAGGTCACTCCCTAACATACAGCCAGATTGTATTCCTCTGGCCCTTTGCAATACCTGCTTTTTCAAGTGCTTTGAAAACCCTGCTTGATTTTTACGTGGAAAGGCTTTTCCACCTGTATGTGCCTAAGGGGTTGGATGCCTTTGTTTCACTTAGCATCACTATGGCTCGCTTTACCTTCAGTCTCTGAGACTGCAACAGCCAAAATACTTGGGCAAGGAGGCCAGGAGGGCTTTTTGGCTTCAAAAAGGGTAGGAGGGACTTCAAGGCTTGCAATCTGGTGTGGTTGTGGCAAGCAGATCTCTTGCTGGGAGGGGAACAGTCCTTCCGTGCGCCCGTGCAAGCGCTGCAGGCAGCTGCCTGCGGACCCCTGTTCCCTGGAAGCTCTGGGGCTGTCACAGCCATGATGGAGGCAGTCTGGTGAATCTATACAGTATCGCATGTTGATTTAATACGTGTATTATTAGGAGCGGAGCAGCAAGAGAGATGCCTGTGGATGGCTTTTGGGCATGGCAGAATAACTGCAGCGGAGGGTAATTGAGTAAGTGGGAAAAACAGCAGTAGGAAACGACTGTTTTCAGCCAAAGCTGATGGAGTTAATTACGCTTATTTGCTCTTTCTGACTCATAGTGCTGGGTCCCTCCTGGTGAGCGCTCACGCCAAGGAGCAACCCCTCACCGATGGGGTGACCCTTGCAGCCTGCCCGGCATCCCGGCAGCTGAGGAAGGCAGCAGCCCCTGCCCATGCGGGGAGATGGGCCAGAGCAGGGGCTTGTCCCTGTGTCACCCTTCACTACCTTGTCCCACACGGGAGCTGGGGGCTCCGGCTGTCCCTCCAAACATCTGCGCTGCTAGTATCTTGTTTCCTATAGCAAGCATCGCATCCCTTCGATACTCCCACTATTGACAGGGATGGAGTGGGTGGAACAGTCTCCTAGGAAAACTTCAGCTTTTTTCCCATGGGTTTTGGCCCTGCTGTGCCAGAGAGATTTATCCCAGCCCTGGGGACTTGTTGGCTCAGCTCAGGCAGTTCCCAGGCTCCCTGCCTGATTCACCAGCCCCGGCCCTGAGCTTTGTCCCCTGGCTTTTCCTGCAGGGCTAACCTTATGGCACAGCCGCTGTGGCTTGCACAGCTGTGTCCCGTTGCAGCTTCACAGCTTTCTCCCTCCATTCCTGATTGCTGGGCAGGTTATAACAGCAACCCCCTGCCAGCTGCTGCTTTTTGGATGCTCCGCTTTTGCAGTGTGCTCCAGGGTGACTTCATATGTAGTGGTACCCAGATAAGTGCTTGTGTCCGTGTCCCATGCTTGCAGGAAAGCCTTGCAGATATGCCTGTGTGATGTGCATGGCCCAAAGCAGCCGCAAGCTTTGCAGCAGCGGCTTGGGAGGTGCACTGTAGCCCAATTGCAGCTCTGTGGGAGATTTGCCATTGCCAGAGCTCTCTGTTCAGCGCTGGGATTTACGCTGCTGCTTTGGTGAGTTGCAAATTGCTTTTTCTGGATTTTTTCATGGGGTCTGGGGAGTCACTGGGACCCAGCAGTTAGGAATTGCAATACTTTTTCAGCAAGCTGCCTAGGGAGGACAGAGCAGTAGCTGATAAGAGATCTGCCCCAGCGCTTTAAACCTGCACCTCCGCTAGCTCCCAGAGCGAGCCGGTCCCTGCCAACAGTCTATCCTCTCACACACATTCCCCTCACTTTTGTGCACACTTTCTCATGTTAGTTTTGTCTCTGCAGAAAGCTGTAATAGACAGGCAGATAATGTTTTATCTCCCCATTGGGTGAGCGGTGTCCATATGCTCTCCTGAGGGCTGTACGAGATGTCCTGGGAATAAAGTGACTTACAGGGGAAAAGAAAATATCAAAAATTGCCTGTGATGGCAAGACCAGAGGCCAGGAGAGGATGGCATTGCCAAACGAGACCCCAGCTCAGAGCGGTGAGGGGCTGCCGTGGGTCAGCCCTGGTCCGTTGCCTGCTGATGCAAAGGTCCCACGACCTTGGGTGCTGGTTGCAGGACACCCGTGGGTGCAGGGTGCCGTGGCCCCAGCTCCTGCGTGGCTGCAGCGGAGCGGTTTTGGCCTGACATCTCCACCAGCTTTGGCTGCAGCCACTGGAGGTCACTGCTGATCTGCAGCTCCACATGCAAAGCCACTTTTGGAGAGGCGGGTAGGAGCCCTGCTCCCAGGTGTTGGCTCTGGGCTGCTTTGCCTCTAACCCCCTGCAAAATCCCTGGGAGCTGGGTGGCTGCTGGCACGTAGGACCTCCACTAGAAATAAGATTTGGCACCTCCAACCCTCCCCGGTTATCCCTGTCCCCTGCTCCTGGATGCAAGGACTCTTTGGGGACCCACCATTTCCAATTGCCTGGTCCAGTGTAGGACCTCCTGGGAGGGATGCTGGCTTGGGGAGCATCCTACACCTCCTGAGCAAACCGCACTGCCAAATGTGAAATGCAAGGCCTGTAACCCGCACTTCGGGAGGCAAAGGCAGAATTTCAGCAGCTAATTCTTCCCTCGTTGTTCTCGTCAAATAGTCTGTAATGAAGTTAGCTAGTAGGAATAATGTCCATTTTAAGGAAGATGCTTTTATTCATTTCACCTCTTCTTGATCTGGCCAGGGCCCTTTCTGCCCCCTTTGACCAAGGTGGCTCGGTGTCCCGTGTGGTGCTGCACCCCAGCTCTGTGGGTGCGATACAGACAGCATTGGGCGTTTGGAGCTGAAAAGTCCCTTCTAGGAGGGTTTTGGAGCCATTGCCAAAGAAATGGGTGGAACCACATTTCCAGTTCCAGTCCCAGCTATAGCACCTGGCCCCTCTGGCAGGACAAGTATTGTCCTTCAGAACCAGAAGTTCAACCGATTTAGGGTAATGCTGTTGCTCAGCACTTAAGTAAAACCTGAACTAAAATCTTTTGGGGTTTTCACACCCCCTGAACACTGATGTTGCCTTGTTTACAGGTAGTGAGCAAACTTCACTTATTTGTTTAGGGCAAAACTGATCTGCTATCTGTTGTAAGAGCTCACCCATCAGGAATATTATCCTCTCCCCACCCCAAGGGGTAAGGGTGGAATTTACTGATTCAGCCTGTGCAATGCAAACCTCAGCTGAATGACAAATCTGACTCTCTAAAGGATATTTAGAGAAGGAGAAGGGGGAAAGAGAGCAATGGAAAAGGTCCTAAAAGGCAGGTGGGTGCCTCCTGGCTTTGGCTGAGGAGCAAACACTGAGGCTGAGAGGTTTTGGGTCCAAACAGTCCTTCCCAAACACCTGGCAGACCAGCGTGGTTTTGGATGGGGATTAAGGCTTGTGCAGGTCCATAGGTGGTCACAGGGGTGGTGCATGCCAGCAGAGGTTATAGCAACTCATCAGTGTGTAAAACATAGTCTGAGTCAGCCCAAATCCTGACTGTGAGGCAAGAGGAGTGGGAAATAATGGGATGCTCCTGGTGAAAGGGTGATAGATGGAGAGCAAGTGGGACTCGGAGCTGCTATCAGCAGCTCAGCAGAAAGCTGAGCAATGCAGCAAGGGCGATACGGGCTCCCTCCTCCCACGGTCATGCAGGGATCCTCCTGTTCAGACCCGAGGGCAAGTCCCAGGGCAATTACTCTTCATGTCCTTGAGTCCTGCTCTGAGTGAGACTGCTCTGTAATCAGCAGAGCCTTGATGCAGGGGAAGCCCTGATTTTAAGCAAAGTCTTGGATGGCCTCCAATACCTTTGCAGAATTTGGCAGGAGAGGATAAGGCAGCGTCTTTGGCCCCATGGGAACCCTCTTGCAGGGCTGCTGTCATCCCTAAACAGTGCTCTGGGGGTTTCTAGGAGCAGAGGTAGCCCTCTTGTCCCCATCTTGCAGCCCTGATGGGGCATTTAGCTACGCGTCTCTGGGGCACCCTAAATATGGACCTAGAAAGCAGGTCCCTGGGGACCTTTGGCCATGCTGTTCTTGCTGGAAATGCCTGTGCTGTGGGAGCTGCTTTCTGCCTCTCTCTTCTTCCCAGTTGTGTGTCCAGAAAAGTTAAGAGTCAAATCGAGAAAATATAAAAATGCATGCCATTTATTTCTGTACATAACCAAAGCGCTCGTAATTAGCATCTCCAGACGGAAACCCAGACAAGTTTCCTCCCCCCAAACGAGGAGGCTCAGTGCTACGTTGTCAGGCTCATAAAAAAAAAAAAAAAAAAATTCTCCATGTCCCTCTTCTTTCCTAAAAAGCAGGTTTTTAATACAAAAAAAGGGCTAAAAATATTTCAAAGGCACATTCTTATCAGGAAGGAATGAAGAAATACTGCTTTTTTCCTTGTGAGCCTCCCTCCAGCGCTGGAGAGGTGCTTGGTGGTTGTGGCTGATAACAATCCAACTTGAGAGGAGAATGCAAAACAGAATAACAATATTTACTTGAAGCTAATTGTAATTTTCACAAATGGTCACCAAAAAAGCCCAAATATCAGCAGAAAAGGGAAGCTTCTGTATCTCTTTGTTGCTGGAACGCTGCCTTCCAGCATGTAGGGTTGAGGTGATCCTATCTCCATCTGCTGCCTCGATTAAAAGAGAAGAGGAACTGCTGTTCAGGTGATAAGAGGGGGCAGAGGCTTCTCCATTAATATGTAAACTTTGGATCAAGAAGGAAGACTTTGGATCAAAAAGAGGCTCTAAGCAGAAGTCACCTCTCAATAGATGGGTTTTGAATCTGCATGCATCAGCAAAAGGCACATCTAGTATGTGCTGGCTTCTATAAAGAGGAGGAGGAGGATGGGATGGACATGTGATCCCACTAAACTTTTCCAGTTTGGGTTGAATAATGTCCACCCTGAAGGATGTATATCTGAAGTAACAGCTTTGTAACGTTTGTCTAAGCTCTTGTGATAGGTTCTCAAATCCAGGAAGGACCACATCAGCCAAAAATGATCTCCTGCCCTCCATGGCAACCAGCATCTGTATTTGCCCTATAGGATTGACTGAACCACCAATAACTCATTAAAAAGTCATACCCAAAGGACGGAGATCTTTCCAAACACCTTGGCACCTTGTGCCCACAGTTTGAAATAATCTGTTTCGCCAGTTGAGCATTCCTGACTTCAGATCCAGCTCTGCGTGCCACCCCTGTTAAAATAGTAGTTTCTCTACTTCCAGCATCTTCACCCCATGCTGGGAGTCCTGGTAATCTCAAAACACCTTTTTAATCCACTCTTTGCAAACACTAAAATGTTTGTGCTCTTGTGGTTTTTAATTACAAATTTCTATGACCTGGGATGATTCTTGCAGCCCTGCCCATCTTAAAGGGGAAAACATGAGGAAAAATTCAAGTGTAGACCCTAGAGCAGGAAGCAGTCACTGAGGATCAGCGTCACAAGGGGATATGCAGAGCTGCGATGAGATGCTTTAATGCCTTGGAGATGCCAATGTCTCTTCCCTTTTTCCTTCAGCCAGTTCTTGCTCTAGTTCCCCCATCTCCTTCCAGCCTCCCCCAGCAGCTGGTGAGTCCCCAGCATTTTTTCCACATTTTAAAGCTCCATCTTCAAGACAGTTCTCCCTGTTTCAAGGTGAGGATTGAGGCTGCTGGTCCATGCTCTTTAGAAGGGTCTCTTGCAATTTGCTACACTCTCCCTTGCTCTGTTTTAACTTTGCCTTCTTTTGCCCAATTTTGGGGAAAGCTCTGTGGGCTGCATTCCTCTGCCTTGTTCATTTTTAATTTTTTTTTTTTGGCTCTGAGTGTGAA